TCATCATGACCCTGTCCCCCAAGCTTCCATGTACAGCAGCAGTAGCCCCTCACCACCACCACCACCACCCTGCCCATAAAGAGAAAGCTGGCTGCACACCTAGGTAGACAGGAGGACCCAGAAGATGAGGAACTAAAACAAGGTGCCCCTGGCCCAATGACTGGATCTGCAGTGTCCTTAATATCAACATAGGAAAAGAACGCCCAAATAACGAGTTTCAGGTGGTTCTGATTTTTTAAATGCTAAAGAGAGGTTAAAGCAAGAACAATTGGATAGTTTCCATTGTATTTAACAGCTAGAATTCATAGGGACAGAAGTTAAATTGCAACAATTAATAAGTGAATGAGAGATAAGGATATTGAGAGGACAAATATAAACTGCTTTTTCAAGAAGCTTGACTAGGGGAGGAAAAGGGAGGAAGAGCACAATAGCTAGAGCAGATTTTAGGATTAAAGGAGATTTTTAAATCTCCTGCATACTTGAACATTTCTATAGAATTTTAGAAACGTTGAAGTGAGCTAGGAGCAGCCTAAAACTGCAAAGGTAGCATTTCCAGATCTTGGAACGATAGTGAATCTCTTGTGTATAAGTGGCTAAATAAATTCACCTGCAGACCTTCCTCTACCTGTGCTCCGTAGGCTTTTGGTATTATTAACTGTGTTACTTAATTAACTAGGTACCTTCTTACCCACTTGGGCTGGGTGCTCCACTCAGAGAGCTGGATGGGTGGTTTCCTCCTGCCTGCTGCTTGAGTCTCCTGGTATCTTCCACTCGCCTCCTGGGAAGATCTTCCAGGCCTCCCTGCTGCTGTTCTGCTGCTCCCTCACATCTGCTTCCCTTAAAACATTTCTTCTGGGCATCATGCTTGAAGTTAGGCCAGATGCCTGTAATTTAGGCAATCAGGGTTTTCAGTGTTGTGACTCAATTAAAAGTTTATAGTATATTTTTAATAGTCTGCATCTCAAGAATTATGCTGAATCTCAAACTGGTAATAGTAGTGAGTCCTGGGAAGACCAGGATGTGGGGAGAGAGGACAGTGGTCTAAGGCCCTAGACTTACTGCTTGAATCTTTAAAATGAGAATTAATTAAAAAGAATCATCCTGAATAGTCAAGTTTGAAAATTAAAACCTTGCCGTATTAGAGATGATATTAGTAAAGTAAATATAGTTAGTTGAATATGTTTCTTTGCCATATTCCCTAGGAAAGGTTTAGTTCTAATTACATCCTGCAAGTTTAGTTAGGTACTTGGCTTTAGAGGAATTCTTGAAGTCTGCTTGCAGTTTAGCAGGGTCTCGGGGTTGATTTAACCCAAGATCCACTGAACCTTTCCCATCTCCTGTGTGAATCCCGAGACCAGTCTAGTTGCTCTGCAAGAAAATAGAGAAAATTGGAGTGGTTCAACTAGTTTACTGAGGCTATACATGATCAGTTGGTAGGATTACAATGTAGGTCTTGGAGTGGTTCAACTAGTTTACTGAGGCTATACATGATCAGTTGGTAGGATTACAATGTAGTTGGTAGGATTACAATGAACATTTCAAAATGATGTTTTGAAGGAATTTGCTATTATTCATACTTTAGAAGGAAAATAGTGCTTTACTGTAGGTAACTTTAACTAGATAATTTCAAATGTTGACTTTAGAATTAATTTTTATGTTTATCTTGAACAAGAGTGCACCTGATACAGAGCTTCACGGCCCTGCATAGAAAGTAATGGAGCTGTTCTGTAAAAACTGGATTCAGGAGTACTTGGAAAACTGCCCACTTTCCCTCACCAACCTATCCTCTGCTTTAATTTCTTTTTCCCTTCACTGAGTGCTGGCAGGTGTCTGAGGCCCAGTAAGCAGGCAAAGAGTGAGGTGGCCACTGTCTCTTTCTAAATTTGTTTGTTAAGAAGATAGGCGATAATGAGCTACTTAATAAAGTTGGTACAGAATTTGGGCTTCTTAGTCCACAGAAGTTGTATTTTAGCCTGGGCAGAAACTTTAATCAGAATAGGGAACTAGGGGCCGGCCCGGTGGCGTACTGCTACAGTGCACCACTTGGGAGCGTGGCGGCGCTCCCG